AAAGGCTCAGATAATTTGATCTGATGAAAATAAAATTTTTGTATTGCCGTTTCTTCTAGGTAGCAAGTAGATTTATTTGTTAGTTGTCATTCCCAAGAGATGCCAGAATCCATTGCAAGCTTGTTATTTTAGAAATTGTATATTTTGATCTTAGAGTTGTCTGCGTTAGACAACTCAAGTTACGGGCAAATTAGAATATTTGAAGTAGAATAGATTAAATTTGAGCTGAAAATTCATAGGTAATATAGGAGTGGTAAAAGATGACTTTTTCCTGTTTGATCTTACAGTGCTGGGTGAAGGTCAGCGGGTTAAAAAGGAAGAATAAACTTAAAATTACTTTAATCTTCCTTTTGAGTAACTTAACTGCCTGGCATAAGAGAGACATGTTTCGAGGAGGCCTGGAGACCAGCTTAATAACTTCAGAGGGTTTCAGATGAGCTTGTGTTGACACATACAATGATGGTGGTGGAGGAGGCATATGAGGTAATCTGTCCGTGATGGGATGTATTTTCGCCATGCCCCTAATAGCTGATTTGTGACGCAAATGATAAGAATGGACTTACATTTTATGAACCTGAGGACATACATAGTGTCTAGTCAACCATAGGTTCTGTTGACTCTTACTTGTTTTGGCTTAGACATGCTAAGAGAAGGACTGACCGGTTCTTAAATTGGGACAGGGGTTCTTAAATGGGCAGAAAATTTGGGCATATTCTGAGGGCAATTAGGCAGTTTGTAATTTCTTATTTGTGATTTGGAAGTACCACTTGTGCAAAACATCAGACCTGTGTGTTTGTGTTTGTGTGTGTCATGGGACACAACGACATTATTCAAGACCAGGAAATGTGGTAATTTAACGGAACTGTTTTAAGAACCATTAATCTAGGATGCAGTGAATATATCGCTGGATGAAGACCTGGTGATGCTTGTCTTAGTGGTTCACCTACTACTGAAACAGCTATCACCAGTTACAGTACCATTCAATCATATATTCACTTTGTTTATTGGCAGGAAGGGGGCTAAGAAGTTTGGGTCTTGGCAACTGCAGCTATTCTTGGAGGGCACCAATTTTCTTGACCTTCAATCTGGTTTCATTGTCTGGTTCTGAGACTGAATCAGACACAATTTTTCTGTTAAATAACCTCCTACCGGGAAGAGAATTGAGGAGTGTTACCGTTGAACCTGACTGATTTTTCAGTGGGCTTTTGATTCCATTGATTATGATATCCCATTGGATTTTTTTTTATAAGTTGGGGCTTTTGTTACAGTAGTCCTGTTCCCACTTGCTGAAATAGCCTCAAATAGCCTCAAAAAGTTACCTTGGATGACAGCGCCTTTGTGCGCCCTGAGAGTCCTACTGTGGGATGATTTGTAGTGCTATTACATGCCTTGCACTCATCAGGAATTTCATCAATATGCTGATTACATTCTCCTCATTCCACAGCATTTTAATTAGGAAAGGCTTGACGTGTTTTGAACCTCTGTTTAGATGCAACAAAGGTATGGAAGATGGGAAATAAAGTAGCTTTCAATTCATGTGGAGGGAGCTTCTTGGGTATAGAAATTGCATGTATCGGGAGGACGACCGCCTGTCCTAAAAGGGATTGTGTTTTGTTAGAAGCAGCACACAGTTTGAGAATATTACTAGAGTAATTGTTGTCATTGGGCCCCAGTGGTCAAAAGCAATCATTAACCATTTTATTTATTTATTTGTGAAATTCATTGGATGCCTATCTTACCACAGGGTAACTCTGGGTGACTTGCAATCTTTAAAAATTAAACAGGTAAAAGACAAAAATAAAATCCTGTGAAGATCGAAACACTGAGCCCCAATTAAAAACGGGTAGGGCAGAGTAGGATGGGAGGGAGGAAAGATGTGGGGTTCATCAGTCAACCATCTCCACTGTGATGCACCCCTGTTGGAGTCCCAAGCTAATTGGCAGAGTCAGGTCTTTAGACTCTTATGGAAGGTCAGGAGGTTTGGTGGAGACCTCATTCCAGTGGACAAGATATTCCATAGGGCAGGTGCTTCTCTTAGACCCCAACAGCTGGAATACTTGGGCTAATTGGGCGGTCCAATTTTGCTCGGTATATGAGCTATCCTTTTGCTTTTGTTGTAATTATTATTTCATATATTTCATACTTCCAATAGAAGAGAATATATGCAACTCAGGATTGATCTGTGGAGCCCTTGTTGCTCTCTGGGCTTGTTGGTCATCAGCACTGATGACATTATCTACTTGAATAATAGAACATTTGCAAAAAAACAAAAACAGCCAAGCTCAGAGAGCCCAAAGGACTCCATATTTTAATGCAGTTATGTATAAAGTTCCTTAAAGCGCCTTATGCAAATTAAAAAGTACTTTACAAAATATAAAATATGCAATAAAATGAATTGCATTGTATTTATTTATTGGCAACCATAGGTTTTACATATATTTGTATGCAAAACCATATCAGTTCAATGTATTCCTTCTAGTATTATCAGCACTATTGAATGTCAGGGCATGCTTTTGTATCTTGGTTACAGCCATTGCAAACAGAGAGAGAGCATAAAAAAGGAGGAAGGAAAGGAGAAGCCAAATTCATCCAGAGAAGATCTAAGTGAAGAGAAGGGGCTTCTTTAACAATATCTACAGGATGTAACAGAGACATTTAACAGATTTCAGGGAGCGTGCATGCCACTATCAGAAAAATTGCCCATAATCAATCACCAGATGGTCCTTGAGGCATAATGTGCAAAACGTCCCTTGACAATCTCAGAGATCTGCTATGTTTGTAATTAAGAAGGTGGTAGATACTAGTCCTATGACATATGTTTATATTTTATATTAAAAAAAAACCTTGATGAATTGTCAATAGAACAGATGCTTCAACAGATGTGGCATATGAACAGATGTGCATTATGAACAGTGTATGACTGGCAGACGCTGTATCAGCTGCAGCTTGCAGACCAAGCACAAGGATAGCTCCAATAAAATGCATGCAATAAACTGTTTCTAAACTTTGGCAGCATTAAGATATGTGGACTTCACTTCCCAGAATTCCCCAGTCAGCCAGGGGAACATATCTTAAGTCATACATCTTAAAGTTGCCAAGATTAGGAAACACTGAACAAAGCATTATTAAATACATAAACGGCTTTGGTTGATATATTAACTGTACTCACTCCTGGATAGAGCTAGTTTACTATTGTCCATAAAAGCACCGAGAATGTATATATATATATGTTTTATTTATAGATAGGACTCTGTTTGCACCTGAGGAATTTGCCATGGTATGTGTCGGTGAACCCAAACAGTTTCTTTCCTCGGTGTTATGCTATCTGTATACAAGATGAGAAATCTGCTTTTATCGGTGAGTTGTTTTCAATTTCCTTTATTCTAGCCCTGAAAACCTGCCATTGGAAGAGTTTTTATTGTTGTGGCTGACAGCAAGCAACTAAAAGCTATAACAATTCTGTAACAATGCATGCATTAGTTGAGCACTTATTCAAGTCCAATGGAAATTAGAGAAAATATCCATATTGGATATTATTTGGAAATAATATCCATTGAGATGAATCCTGCAAAATAGCAATAGCAAGATTTTTTTTTTTGGCAGATTGGAATGAAGAATGTGTAATAGAAATAATGTAGAACTTGCCCATTTTGAAGATGGCTGTGTTTCTTCTTTTCTTGACTTCTGTGATCAGAACCAATCTGAGGAATGGCCAGGAGGATTTCAATGTCAATTTTTAGGTTTTTGAATGTATCACTTAAATGTTATCACTTTTAATTTTTATGCTGGCTAGGGCCAGGAACTGAGGGGCTGCGGAAATATCTGAATAGACTGAATAGGACCTACTTATGATGTACTATTCCTAGCAGACAATTGCACGTTAACCCCTTTCTCCTAAAAGATTATTCATTTTAATAATGATTCAATATTACGGTAACTTCCATATTCTTAAACTTATTTTTTTTTTATACAATAAAAGTTATATGACAATATTAGGCATACACTTTTACAAAAACAGTTTGTACTCTGTTTTTGCACTGGCACGGAATTGTTAGTTGTGTTACTCCGGACAACTCTTGATTCTTGTTTTTGAAAAGAAACACCCCCCTCCCCCAAGACAACAGTACTTTAACATTCACAGTGTACTAATCCTCTCCTAATGATACCCATTAAGACTGAATGTTACCAATTGGCAGAGTGGATTAAGGAGAAAAAGCATCTGGAGATGTTTCCAAATCATTTCACACTTGCAGCCATTGCTTATTTTCTCACTGCTGCTTCAGATCTTATTCTCTCCATAGTGATAGTAACTGAGGCCCTATTCTATATGCTCGTCCAGATCCATTGCATCTGGTGGAATTTTAGCACATACATTAAAAAAATTGGATTTTCAATAATACATCTCCATTATCACATCAAGTTTGGCATGCTGCCCTTGTGGAAATGGGACCCAAATATACGATTGCAGTTTAATAATAGTTCTGGATGGATTTGGTGCTGTTTTCACCATATGCTTATAGTTCTGCTTTCTGCTTTATCATTTAGACAATTTGCTGCTTAAAAAGAAATGTCATGTATTTCAGATGACTTCAGAAAAACAGCAGCCTTCTGCGTAATTAAATGGGTTGTCAACTTGCATGTTTCTGATGACTGGTCGTCTAAAGAAAACAGTGATAAAGAAGATGCAATTCAGATTAAAGGTATTCTTTAGAATTGTGGCTTGTCTCTACAGTTGAATAAATGTCCATTTGGGACAGTGTCCGTTTGCCTTTTTATTTTCAATGTTGATTTTTTTTAAAAATCTACAAAACTTATTTCCTCTGGCAAATTTTGGACTGTATAAATGTTATGTATCCCAATGACAGGGACCTTAACAAAGGAATCTGGAGGAGAGATAGATTGAATGGCATACAGAGTGCCATCACTGATAAACATTTTTCCTTCATTTCCTAGATTATGAGATAAAGAAAGTTAAGGAACTTCCCGGAGAACTCGTAGAAATGGCATGCAAAGTATGTAAAACCTACCTTGAACAATTTGAACACGAAGACATTGACACAGAGACAGACAATGTTCCAGTACTTTCAGAAACAGAATGGAATAAGTTTGTTGACCATTACTATTCTCTCATTCAGTAAGTGTTGACTTCCACGTCTGTTAGCTGAAAATTACTATCAGCTTCAGGTTTGATCTTGATGCCTAATTTTATAGGCCTTTTTTGGTGGAAACTATACTTTGATACATGCAGAATATATATATATATATATATATATGGTTTTCATCATATGGTTTTTGTTATATTGGTTATATTTCTCTATAGATAAACCTTGGGCTCAAAGGCAAAAACATATTCTTTTGTAAAAAAAATGCAGATACTTACTGACAAAGATGTTTTTGAGCATGTGAGAAAGCTTCACTAGAGCATGCATGTCACTTGCAAAATTTAATTGTCACTCTACTTACATTAGTGAAGCAAAAGCATGAAGTCAGTAAAGAAAAGTACTTGTTGCTCTTCTTAGTTATTTTCCTCATCCTTCTGTTAGCATAAGCCAGCAGTGCAAAATGGTGGAAAGGGCAAGAGATAAAATCAGCTTATTTGCATGATTTTAGTTGCCCATCATCAAGAAAAAAATCAATTTAACATTAGATTTTCCCATGCTATGTATCATATCAGGCAGCCCATGAAGAACAGGAAACAATTTTTGGGGGAGGACAGAAACAGATAGTGTCAGCTTTTACTCACTTGCCCCCAATTGCAAATTCAGCCTCCAGGTGGATTTTCATGTTATGTCACCTCAAGTGCTCTTTGGGCTGGACAGTACTTTACTTCCTTACAGGCTAAGTGTTACCTTGTACAATATGTAATAGGTTGCTAGTCAACACACAGCAGAAACTTTATCTCCTTCATCTAGTAAGCTTTCCTTAGCTAGCTGAGGGCTTTCAAAAGAAAAGAAATTTATAAGTACCATACATCATGTTTCCAGTGAGTTGAGGAAAAATGTTTTCAGTAGAAGAAAATATATGTAGCTCAGGGTTGGATTATGAAGTCTTTGTGCTCTGTGAATTTGATTGTTTGCTTGTAGGCATTTCATTACTTGACTAGGTACAGAGGTGGTATTCAGCAGATTCTGGCCAGTTCTGGCGAACCGGTAGCGGAAATTTTGAGTAGTTCCGAGAACCGACAAATACCATCTCTGACTACCATGCCCATCAGGCCACGCCCACATAACCGGTAGTAAAAAAAAATTGAAGCCTACCACCGACTAGGTAACATCATCACTGCTGGTTACCATGCTGGTTGGGTAATGAAATGTCTACAAGCAAGCAACCGCATTTGGAAAGCAACAAGGGCGCCACAAAAAGGGTTTCACACGATGAATTTTCTGTCCGTGTGTATAAAATATTGTAAATAAAGAATATAAAAAACCTAGAACTGACCTAGGGAAGGTATGAAGAACTGTTAAAGAGGAAGTTCATTAACTTGTCAAGTTTCCAGTACAATAAAGTTGTGAAAAATGAAGTCTCCTGTCTTTCCATGGAAGGATTTCATAAGCTTTCAAAATTGTCCAATTCCCCCCCCCCCCCCAAAAAAAATATGGGGAATCAACAATTTTGATGTGTATCTGAGCTACATTGAATCTTCTTGTTTTTACAAAGGGATCTTTGAATTGAAGTTATATCCTAATGTATTCAGTAATCCAAATAATTTGTAACTGTAGTAGTTTTGAATATTTATTACATAGTTTAATTTTCTTGTTTTTTTCCAGTGAAGGGGCAGTTATTTGTAATGCAGAAAGTTATTTTACTCAGTGTCAAAATATTTTGCACAAAATTAGGCTACTTAACCCACAGCAAGAGATTGATGGTCTTCATAACATCTGGATCATTAAACCTGGAGCAAAATCCCGTGGCAGAGGTAGGATTATGTTGTTTTTTGACAAATACAGATAGTTTATTGTGTAATAAATGTGTGGACTTTTTGTCTGAATCTTATATTTGTTCAGCAGAGAAGCTATTAGAGAAGACCAAATTATTTCTCATTATGGTATTTTTTTTAAATTAGAAAAGATGACTAACCTTTAACTAAAATTTTGTTCAGAGAGATGATATAGTTTTATAGAAGTCTCTAAACATTTCCCTCTCTTTCAAATAATTATTTTTTCTTGTCAAAAAGTAATTCATTTTCTAGAAAAAGATTGCATTGCTTTTACTATTACTATTGAGAAAATAGTAACAGATCACACATTCCATTATTTAAAAAATTGCGCTTTTGTGGAATCATGTATTGAGAATGTTATATCTTAAAATCAAGAAGTTGTGAAACCAATGAGAAATTACCAAAGAAATTAATGTAACATTGATAATGCTACCTACTTTGATAATAAAACTTTCAAAGTAGAAACATTAAAATCGAAGATCAGGAAACATTAAAATCGCAAAAAAAAAAAGTCAGTGCTGTTGTGTCAAAATCTAGACCTAATAAAACACATTCTTACAAGATTTTTCCATTTCAGGTATGACAAAGAGCAACACAATTGTAGTATTAGTTAAACTTTCAAGCACCAAATAGCAGTGATCAGGCTGCACGATGTTTGTGAATAATATGCAATGTTCTTATCAATTCTGGTTGTATCCTGAGGCCCAAAGGATAATTCTCTTGTCGTTTTTTCCAGAAATAGTATGCAAAAATCGACTGGATGAAATATTGAAACTAGTTGAACCAACTGATCAATTTCCAATTAAAGATCATAAGTGGGTTGTCCAAAAGTATATAGAGAAACCACTCCTCATTTATGATACAAAATTTGATATTAGGCAGTGGTTTCTTGTAACAGACTGGAACCCATTGACTATATGGTTCTACAAAGAAAGCTATCTGAGATTTTCAACTCAACGTTTTTCCTTAGAAAATCTTCACAGGTAACCAAGATTATATTCTAACTTGGTTTGCATGATATGTGATTAGGTATATGGATAATATCCTATGGAGGGATTGATTTCGATTAAACATTTATTTATTTAAAACATATGACTGCCCATTAAAAACAAAACCTGGCACCAGATCAGACTTCTACTGTGTGATTATCTAGCCTTCTCTCAGGTTTCAGGGGCAGAGCCAGGTTTTCAAAGTCTTATAGGAGACTAAAGGGGTGGAGGCCTGCTGAACTTTGGGGAAATAATGTTTCATACAACTGGGGCTGCCATGAAGAAAGGATGCTTCCTAGTTTCCTCTGATTATCTGTTATCTGTTAGTTCTTATCAGATGTCTATATTTTGGGGACAGAACTAGGAGTATGCCCTCATCCTATGTGATCTGGTAGTATGGTAGATTTTCTTAGGGAACAGTCTAAAGGTGGTATTCAGCCAGTTCTGACAGGTTCTGGAGAACCGGTAGCGGAAATTTTGAGTAGTTCAGAGAACCGGCAAATACCACCTCTGACTGGCCCCACCCCCATCTATTCTCTGCCTCCCGAGTCCCAGCTGATCGGCTGGGTCTTCTTTTGTTGCCCTGTACTGGAGAATGGAGCTGGAAAGCAGGTTAGTGGGGTGGGAAGGGAATGGGGGTTTTACAATTTCCTGCCCCTGGAGTGGCTTGGAAATGGCGATTTTGCAGTATATCCTTCCCCTGCCACGCCCACCAAGCCATGCCACACTCACAAAGCCACACCACACTCACCAAGCCACGCCCACAGAACCAGTAGTAAAAAAAATTGAATCCCACCCCTGGAACAGTCCTTCAAATAAAACATGACAGAATCATGAGTTTCCTTTATTGGTTACAGTGGCTAGTATGAAAACACCATTGCATCATTGAACCCAGTGTGGAGTGCTATAAAATGTTCTTACTGTAGCTTTTTTGGATTTTAAAATCATTTAGAACAAGTCTGGCTGGATTTAGATGTGTAATTGCATATGGAAGCATTTCTGGCTGAATAAGAATTTAAAGTTCAATTAGATTTGCATGAAGAATGAAGGCATTATTTTCTTTTCTTAAAACTCAATGCTACTGAGATGAATATATATATAGCTGCATTTGAGCTCATGGAGTCTGCTTTAGACAAGGATGATTTCATAATAATGAATGAATTGTATGCAAAATTCTTCAGAACCAAGATATTTTGGTTCCTGAAGTAGACCTCAAGTTGAAGTAGAAGTAGATTCTTAGCCCAGTTCTTTAAACATTTCACACAGTTTCTGCCTTTGTCCACTTCCCAATTCTCTACATCAAGGTGAAGTACAGACCAAGTTGTTAGGTTGTTATGATAAGGTAGAATTGACTGTTACCAAAAAGTGCTTGCTGATGATTAATCATTTCCATTTGCTCCCCCTCCCCCAAATCAGTGTAGATCAGGGGTGTCCAACCTTGGCAACTTTAAGACTTGTGGACTTCAACTCCCAGAATTCTGGGAGTTGAAGTCCAC